TTTGATCAAAATTGGCAGTCCTGCATACATCTGTTAAATTGTTGTTGTTTTTACACCAAGCAGTAACATAATCTGAAATAAATAATGAAGGCATAAATAATAATAACAAATGCATTATTGGGTCAATAAAAATAAAACCAAATTTTCATGTTGCAAATTTGTCTATATTACACATGTAAATTATGAGCTGCCTAGATCTGGTAGATTGGGTGTCTTCTGAGCATCACATCTGGGCAATTGTTGCAAAAATAACTTTTCGTTTGAATATATTTTACCATATATCATTCAATATACAACAGAAACATCTAAAACTTAAAATTATAAGATTAAACTATAAAAAATAAGAGTCATTAAGCATGTTTTAAAGCGAAATTAAATTTTCAGAACAAATCCTTGTAAAACCAAGGGCAGATAATTATAATGAATTTGCTAGGACCTGTTTTGGGGATTTTCCCAAGAAAATAAGACCTGTGAACCCCTATTTTAATTTGCTATTTTGGATTTTTTTTGTGTATTTTTTAGATTATTTCAAATTGTTTGTTTAAATAAAAGATATTTATCATGTTTATATCTAAAAAAAAAATGTACAGATGGTTTTATAACTTTTGATTTTTTAAAAAAGTTTTGAAAGTGCAACATGTGCAAATCCTACTTAAAAAGCATTAATAAGGATTTCTTTCGTATAAACTACTTACTCAAAGTCATAGTGTGTCCATTCTTCAGTCCTATCAGCACACATTTTGAAAAGATATATTAAAACTATATATAATACTGCACATACATCATTCTTTAAATTTTCTTTTCACCAGTTCTGAAATATAAAAAAAGAAATTGTCTGATACTAAATATTATTATATATTCAGTGCATGAAGTGTATAGGTTGTTCTATCCTTTGTTTAATATTTGTTTTTCATTTTACTTTAACATCATAGGCCTATATACATGTAAGTCTTGCCCATTTTTAAAATCTTAATTTTGATCCATAATTGTGTACTATTTAAAGATAATACTTTTTGTCTTTTGTGGATAGATGTCTATATATTAAATTATTGCAGTCATACCACAGATCTTCAATTTTGCCAAAACTACTATTAAATGATATTTTATAAAAGAGATTGTCATAAAAATATATAAGTCTTGTGTCTTACACAATACCATAATAATTAGTATTTATATGCAAAAATATATGGTCTTGTAGTTTTTTTCTTGATCCTAAATGGTTAGGAAGATAATTTATATGTCACATTTGTTTTGAAGGAAATAGCAGTTTCATAATATTCAAAATGGTAGAATTAATTCTAATTCATAATTTTTACTTGCCAAAAGATTTAATCCAAAATATATGAAAACATCAATCTTCCTCAATCCAATAGTCATGCCATCAGAAGAATTTACATCTGCACTTTTTAATGTCAATAGAATACTTTGGAACTTTTTAATCTACATCCATTGTAAAATTCATATTTTGTTCATGATATATTAGACATCTTTGCTTGCTGTCTGCAAGTTCAAATTTTGAATTTGTTTGGGTTGTTTATGGAGTTGTTTGGTTCCTTGAAATGTTTAACTAATAATACTATTAATAACCTAAATCTTAAATATTTGATATATATATAATAAATAAAAAATATTCAAATATTTTTATCTATTATCTTTATATTTGTAAGTTATAGAATTTCAGAAAAATGTACAAAGCCATGTGCCCTCCTTCATTGGGCCCCAACTCTTGTGTACATATCATTTCCTGTCCATTTCACAGAGATAAATGGAAAACAGATGGCACATAACATTTCTATCACTAATTGATAAGAAAGAGACTGCATGGAAATAATTTTTGTGTTTACTTAATTAAATAGAGATACTGGAAAATAAACTAATTTTAACCTGTAATTCATTTAATGGAAAATTCAAAAATAAAATATTGTCTTAAATACTATAAGTAAAATAAGTATATATATATCTAGTCACTTTATATATGTTTAAGTGCATATAGATTACATAACATGCAAATCTATTTTAAAGTAGATTAATCATTCTAAAGATTAATTAAATTACACAATTAAAATTATAAATTACCTAACAATGCTATTCATTTATATACACTATTTAGTATGTAAATATTAAAAAGTAACCATTGCAGGGATTATAATTGGTTATAATTTTTTTTTAAATTCATGATTGAACAATGCATCTCTTTTGAATAAATGTTGGATTTTAGGGTGGTACAAACACTGGTTTTATTGCCCAGATAATTGATTTGACGACGTACCATTCCAAAAGGCTTCACTCGGAAAGAGGTACTACTTCCAATTGCGTTGGGAATGTTGTAAGATGTATGGTAGTCGCACATGTAGGGCATGGTGGAAGTTGTGGTGAATGTGTTACATTTTGCGGTTGTGGTACACTATCCATGTTGCAAGTTTATTTCAACAATAATCGTGCGGTTCTGCGGTTCAGTACGTTTTGCGGTGGTCTTCTTTTGATCTTGAGTGGTAGTAGTTCATTTCTTGACTTTCTAGAATAATTCGGCAATCTCGGAAAGTCATAGGACAAAAATTAATATGTCACAATTATTAAGTTTAAACTTGTTGAAATAAAAACCAAAGTATTCTTGAAAAGATATCATAAATGTATTGTACAGTTTAGGAAATTGTTTATAAGCATTGTTTTTTTAAGACTTTTTTTTCAAATATCCCGATACTTCTGAGTAATTAACATGAAGCACGAGTCATTAAGGATAGAAAACAAAGATAATTAAGGAATCATAATCAATAATTCAAAGAAACATGTCGTGTAATGAACCTAATCTTAAAAAAATAATCATGTGTAATATTTTAAAATGCTTGAAATATCCTTGCAAACTATCATGTCTGACATTTTTAAAGAAAAGTTTCTTGCTAAGTTGTTGCAAATAGTTATTCTTTAAACAATATAAGAAAAGGTTCCTGCAACTTTCTAGCAAACAAACTCTTTCTTGCAATATTGCAGCAAACCTTTCATTTCTGTAAAGGATTGTTTTTGAGAGAAGCAAAACATTGTTTCGTAGCACACCAAAGTTAAAACAATGAATAATCTATCAATAAAAACTATGTACAGTTGTAATGTTAAAATTCGCTCACTAACGACCAAATAGTACGTAAGTTTTACAAAAGAATTACGATACACAATATTAGAAAACGTATTTCTAAGGTCAGTTGGACGTCATAAATACAGTATTACTTGCATACGTTGAAATGACGTTTTAATTATGAAATGTTTTACGTAAAAAAATACCGTCAGAACAACGTCATTATAACGTATCTGTAAATTCAATTACGTAAATGTAACGTTTATTATACGTCGTGATATACGTAAACGTTCGACATTATAAAAACGTCATTACAACGTATTTTCAAAATAGATATAGGAAGATGTGGTATGAGTGCCAATGAGACAACTCTCCATCCAAGTAACAATTTATAAAAGTAAACCATTTTAGGTTAAGGTACGGCCTTCAACATGGAGCATTGGCTCACACCGAACAGCAAGCTATAAAGGGCTCCAAAAATTACTAGTGTAAAACCATTCAAACGGGAAAACCAACGGTCTAATCTATATAAAAACGAGAAACGAGAAACACGTATGAACTACATAAACAGACGACAACTACTGTACATCAGATTTTTGACTTAGGACTGGTGCAAACATTTGCAGCGGGATTAAACGTTTTAATGGTACCAAAAATTCTCCCTTTTCTGAAACAATAGTATAACATCACAACATAGAAAGACACACTATAAAATATCAATTGGGAGGCTTAACTCAGTCAAAAAACGTAAATTAACACACAATGAACGAATAAATTTGATCTGTGATACCTGAATGCAAATACACAGTTAATAAAAATTATAAGGGATAAATAATTAAGGTCAAAAGTAAATAAACAGGTTTAAACAAAGTTAAAGTATGATACCACTGTGAAATATTAAACAATTTTTAGAAAATCATCACTTTTGAAAGAACCTGCGACATATTATACACAGGTAAATGAAAATAATTTTGTTGTTAAGTATACTTCGTCTTCTGTGTGTATAAAATCTTCCGTTTAGAAATACCAAGAAAAAAGCCCATTACGTAAAGATTACCAAACCTCGACGTCACAATGACGTCAAACTAAGGTAACGTCAGCAGTTACTTATATACGACCAAATTATTACGTCGTGCTTATGTCGTGTGTTTCCTGGGTAAGTGTACCTGTAGCTAAGAAATTATTTATTTCCAGTTTAGCAAAACAAATAATATCAAGATAATCATCAAACTTTGAATTATAACTGAGAGGACATTACTGTTGTCTCTTTATGGTCTGTTAAGGTCCAATTAAGAATAGGGTTAGGGTTAGGGGTTAGGGTTAAGGTTAGGTTTAGGGTTAGACATCAATTAGACATCAATAGCTTTGTCAAATTTTCATGGAATTTACGAAATGCGGACAGAATCTTTATTATATAGGATCTTAATACAGTATCTAAAGCAAAAGTTTGAAAACATTTTCTCATTTTGCGTATTTGAACATCGGTAAACTATTGTTGCCATCATTCCCCACATTTCAGTAACATCGGTAAACTATTGTTGCCATCATTCCCCACATTTCAGTAACATCGGCAAACTATTGTTGCCATCATTCCCCACATTTCAGTAAATGCTTGCAACTCATACTTCCTGGTGATCTAATGATAAAGGATACTAACGATACAAGCTGATGATCTCCTTCAGATACATGATGATCTCCTTCAGATACATGATGATCTCCTTCATATCTTTTTTCTTCTTTTACACATACAGTTGCAATGACTACACAACTCATCATTGCGAGGTGTGCTTGACTCCAATTTCATTTGAAAATTATTGCTGAAGGTTATCTTTTGGTACTCTGGTTATTCTGTACTAATAAAAACAGGCCGTCTTATATAGCAAAGTTTACTACAATTTAATCAACAAACAAACAGTTTTATATCTTATTTCAGATATAACAATGACAAACAGTTAGCCACACAAGCTGCAATGTCTAATATGGAAGAAGACATTATTTTAGAGAGAAGTGCTGTATTTGTATGGACACCTAAATTTAGATATGGCACTAGGTAAGTCAAAGATATAATGTTTTTATTGGTATGTTAATTCCATTTAATTACTTAAAACATATGTTTGCCCCAAAATGACAAAAGAATCAAAATCAGGGTTTTCAACATTAATTTTCTTGCCATCTTATATATATGAAAAAGAATTGGAAGCCAGAATTAAATCGCCTAAGTAGAAAAAGACAAAATTCATGACAAAAATAAAAAAAGACAAAAAGACAAAAACTGTCTACAAAATACTATGCAAAAAAAATAAAAACTAAGCTACACGAACCCCATCCAACACAGGGGTGCCCCAGAAAGGTCAAAAGATCCTGCTCTACATGTGGTAAGTGTGGGGTAGCTCATCGTAAGAACGAATTTAATGTAAAGTTTCATTCTTTCGAGGATAATTTAACAATGAAAACTCAGATGGTGATAGTAAGGTGAGCTATCTATTCCCTTACCGAAAAATAAGCCCTGCGGCAAACATTTGCCGCAAGTTTGCAGCAAACATTGCCGCAAGCTTGCAGCAAACATTTGCTGCAAACTTGCCGCAACCATTTTACCATGCAAATGAAGGTTGCGGCAAGCTTGCTGCAAACATAATTATGCAAATTAGATTTGCCGCAAGCTTGCGGCAATTGTTTGCTGCAAGCTTGCGGCAATTGTTTGTTGCAAACTTGCGGCAAACTTGCAGGAACTACACATATATCAATGTCATGTGTGTAGACACATTTAATTTATCTCTTTCAAATTACACAGCAACATTTTAAAAAGAATTCCTGCCTGTATACAAACAGTCATTGAAAGAATTCTTGCAAACTTAAAGATTTAAGGAAATACATACATGCATTTGAGTTTTGAAAAAGGGGGCAGGGGTTATTCTCAAATGACATCATATACCTGTATTAAGAAATTAAAAAGGAAAAATCTCCAATGTGTATTGGGTATAAAGCTAGGTAATAATTGCATTACAGAATTGAACTTGATTTTAATAAACATGATACAGTACATCAGTTACAAAATTCAAACTTATAATAGCTAAAGTTTTTCAAACACACACATATATATATATAGTTGCTTACTTAATTATGTATGATGGTGACATTAATTATTTTATTAAAACATGCAGTTCTATGAATTATTTGTACTTACAAAATTACCTATTGAATATCCTATATTAATGAACCAAAATGCCTCCTTGATCTCTTATATGTGAAATGCATTTTCCAAACACAATCAACATGACCTAGACACAATTTCAAATTGATAGCTTCCAGGAAGTGCCAACTAGGCTTGCCCAGTCAATATTGTGTAATTCTTGCAATGTTCTGGCAAACATATAGAATGGTCAAAGTTTTCTGCAATCTTGCGGCAAACATATAGAATGGTCAAAGTTTTCTGCAATCTTGCAGCAAACATTATTTATTATCTTAACTTTCTGGCAATCTTACGGCAAACATTGATGTTTCTGCATACTTGCCGCAAGCTTGCAGCAAAAAGCTGCAATGTTTGCCGGAAGTTTGCAGCTAGCGGCAAACATCTGCAAACACTATTTTCTGTGTTCCTGCAAACTTTTTGTTTGCCGCAAGCTTGCAGCAAGTCTGCTGCAAGTTTGCGGCAAACAATTCAGTTCCATAAGGGTATTACTGCAGATAATGCAATTTTTTTCTAGTTTATCTAGTTTTTGTAAATTTTCTGTTCAAATTTCCACACAATATATACAAAAGAAATAAACTAATTTTATTGAAACAATAAAATATTTCATTCACAAAAAAACTCATGCCTTTCTGCGAAAAAAAAAATCACGTGCAACTTTTTGAGAATTAAAGGGAATGTAGATCCTTAGGTGGTGCATTCCTGCATGTCAATTGCGAACTGACTCAATAATTTTTTTTTTATCACAACCACTTATACTGACATTATTAGCGAGAACACATTAAAGGAAAAAGGTAGAAATTACCGATAATTATCGTAAATGTAATCAACACAGGACATTTATTATAAACTTCAGTGCCTTATATGTGGTCCAACAACTTCTATACTGTAAGGCCAAGTAAATTTAATTAGTAGATTTTCATCCAAATTTTTGAAAAAAATGGGGTGGGTGGGAGGATTTTATTTTTTAATTTTTATTAGATATGAAACGCTCTTGTAACGTGTTCTTCATATATGCAAGTGTAATAATAAGGTTCTATCATGTATATACATGTATAACGAATCAAACATACAAAGAAATGCAAAAACCAAAATTTGAAACAGGATGTTATTAATGAAACGAAATTATCGACAGTTACCGGTAACGAAAATGAACAAAATCCGGAAATCGTAAATTTTTCAAAATAAAAAAAATTGGGGCGGAACGATTTCAGAGGGGCGGGCGGGGATGAAAATCTATCAATTAATTTTAATTGGCCTAATTGAACATGTTGAACATGTTTTTGGTAGTCTCCTGAATAAAAATTTATTAGTTAAACCGATGATTTTCGGCAACAATTACGTATCAGATATAGTAATTATAAATTAAAGGATAGAGGGTTTTTGTGAATGGAATAGTCATGCAATCCCTTCCCCCACCCAAAAAGCAAAAACAAAAAGAGTTAAAAAAACATCAATGTTAACATATTGTCTTTTAAAGAACAGTTTTGACTTAACAATATGTAGAGGTTTTTATCGCTACTAGTTTAAAGATATGCATCCTGCACATATTTCTGGAATTTCCTAAATCAAGGACACCAGAGACCACATGTTTTGAAAGCCAAAATTATGAAACGCTAAAGAGCACAAAAAACAGAAGCCATCCTTTAGCAGGCAGACAAAACCGTTATTGTCAAATAGGGTCAATCTTGCCGGATGGAGTTTCAACCTTCCCATTAGCAATATAATACAATTTCATGAACAGAAAAAAATATATCTGTAAGGAGCTTTTTTTTATATTCATAAATGTTTTTTTTAATTTATTGTAGAACACATTCCATCATTTTAGTTGACCGTGAAGGCAATTGTGATTTTATAGAGAAAACTATGACGACACCAGTAGAACCAGATAATGTCAAATGGGAAACCAGATCCTTTAAATTTAAATTTTCTAATTGTACAAGCCCTCATTTATAGCATGTTCTAAACAAGATTGTAGTATAATATTTATTTATTTAAATTAATGTTGATTAAAAAATAATTAGATTAGATGCATGCGATTTTTAATCAAATAGTACAATACAGATATTTGCAGCAATTTTACCTCTTCATTTGAACTCATTAAAAAAGGTGAAATCCAAAAATGTCCATGATAAATGTTAAATATCCAAAGCATAAGTTCAATGTAAATAATTTTTCTGTTTTATTTTCTATCAGTAATTTACATGTTGATACACACCTTAAAATTGTTTCTGACCACTTTATTTCAAAAGCAAATTTGATGACCGGAATGTATTGCTTTAGACAAAAAAGAAACATTTTCTGCCCCCAAACAGTTGCATTTTGTTAAATCATTAAATTTGTTATGATTCCTAAAGAAAGGATGAGTAATACTTAACAGAGATATTTGTTTTTTTTAGTAATTAAAGACATTACCTTAAGCTTTAATGATTTAGGTAATATTTTATGCATATATCTGTATTGTTTTAATAAATTTGGTGTGATGGTAGATTTTCCATGGTCTTTGCAAAGCTTATTGATACCTTCTAAGACCAGAGGAGAAGTAGAAGTAGACACCTCTATATGGCCGAAGACAGTATTTTTACCTTTGAAATTGCATTTTAGTTTTTGCCATGTTTCATAAACTTATATTTCACATCTTTGTTCTTTATATTGAGCTTGATTTGTGAGAAAGAAAAAAACTGTCATTTTCCTGACTTGGTACAGGCATTTTCCGAAGAAAATGATGAGTTAAACCTGGTTATAGGTAGCTTAACCTCCAATTTTTATGACAGTTGTTTATAGTTCCGTTATTTTGACCAAATTGAGTGAGCAACCAAAACAGACATAAAAGGTTAATATGAGAACACAACTGACTAAAAAATCCGAACAAATATACAAATGAATTTAACAAAGACAAAAAACAAAATGTTTTTTGTAGTTGATAGTAAATTGACAAAGATGTTGATAAAAAAAATTGTAGATGATAGTACATCATGTATTTTTACGATGTACTTGATCTATGCGATCACAACGATATTGAAGATGGTGTAGAACATTGAAATAATACATGTGTTTTATGATGTGCAAATGACTTGCAGAAAGTTTGAAACACATTGTAAATAATTTGCTTCCAAGTTTCAACATATAAGTTTTTCTTCAGATCTATTTTTGTCTCGCCTTGACGGAGTCAAAAAGCGAGACATAGGTATGCTGTTTCCGGCGTCGGCTGCGGCGGCGTCAACAATGTATTAGTTCGTGATTAGGTCTAGTTCATGGTGAACCACTAGTGGTAGGTCAATGATATTTGGTATGCAGTTGTATTAGCATTGGCACATCTCATTACCATGGAGATTATTTGACCCCGCCCCCTCAGTCAATGTCTATTGACTGAAACTTTTCATAGTTTACATGTATTAGTTTGTGATTAGGTCAATTTATGGGGAACCACTAGTGGTAGGTCAATGATATTTGGTATGCAATTGTATAAGCATTGGCATATCTCATTTTCATGGAGATTATTTGGCTCCGCCCCCTTAGTCATGGTCTATAGACTTTGAAAATTTTGCTAAGTTAACATGTATTAGTTTGTGATTAGGTCAGTTCAAGGGGAACCATTAGTGGTAGGCCAATGTTAATTGGTGTTCGGCTGTAAAGGCATTAGCACATCTCATTTCCATGGAGAATATTTGGCCCCGCCCCCTCAGTCATGGTCTATTTACTTTGAAACGTTTGCTTAGTTTACATGTATTAGTTTGTGATTAAATCAGTTTAAGATGAACTGATAATGTAAAGTCAATGATATTTGGTATGCAAATTTATTGGCATTTGCAATTATAGTTTCGATGGAGATTATATAGCCCCACCCCTGATCATGGTTCATTGACTTTGAAACTTTTACATAGTTTACAAGTCAATGTTTGTGTTTAAGTTTGTTTAAAGGGAATGACTTATAATAAGTCAATGGTATTTGGTATGCAGTTGTATTAGCATTGGCACATCTCATTCCATGGAGATTGTTTAGCCATGTACCTTCAGTCATGGTTCATCGACTTTGAATATTTGCATAACTTACATGTTAAAATATTGCTATTTTAATTTCAACATTTGCATTATCAAAATTACAAAAAGGCGAGACATATCTCTGTGATAAGTTTATATTTCAAATAGATACACCTGCATGGATGTATTTGGTTCCTGTATAAATCAAAGCTAATGAAGTATTGCTTCTTTTTATATATAATTTATATGGTTAATTTTATAATTCTGTAATATTTCAGGATACACACGTATCTGTTTGACTAGGACGAATATGTGGTTTTCTAACCTGTCGAGTTGCTTTTTTTTCAAGCCGCAAAAATGCGATAGCATGTCACTGAAATTTTCAGCGCACGTAATCGAGGTATGGTCAAGATAAACCACCAAAAAAAAAGTGGCAATTGTATGATCGCCAATGAAACGAAACAATAGGAGGTTTTAAACAACTGCAGGTCTACCACCTTTTTTATTTTCTATTCGTATGTAAAAGTAAAGATAATTAATCACCCAGTTCATTTCTAAGATTATAGTTTAAAGCAACTATATGTACACTATTTATTTGTTTTACAGTTTGATTTAGAAATAATACCGACATAGCTAGATAATACTATTAATTATCTAATTACTAACACAATTCTATATTAATATTCTTGTAATTGTTATAAAATACATCAAATGACATAGTTACAAACCTGATCTTGTGAAAGACAGTTCGTGGTTCTGTTGTGCTGTTTTGTGTGCTGTCCTATGTTGTTTTACGTGTTCGTTTTTATTCTGTGGCTAGCATGTCAAAATGTACTATTGTATTGTTTATTTGTGTATTTCTCTGTCCTGAATGTTCTTGCATTTATTTGTACTGTATTCCTGTCATTTAATGGTGTAATTTTTTTTACTGTCCCTCTGGTATCTCTCGTCCCTCTTTTAGTGTTATATTTAACATTGCCATAAAAGTGCGAGGTTTGGCTAGCCACAAAACCAGGTTCAACCCACCATTTTTTTCTTAAAATGTCCTGTACCAAGTCAGGAAAATGGCAGTTGTTATCTTATAGTTCGTTTCTGTGTGTGTTGCATTGTCGTTTGTTTTTTGTTCACTTCAGTGTTTCTGTTGTTTCGTTGTTTTCCTCTTATAGTTGATGTGTTTCCCTCGGTTTAAGTTTGTAACCCGGATTTTTTTTGTCTAAATCGATTTATGACTTTCGAACAGCGGTATATTAGCTACTGTTGCCTTTATTTACGTTTATACTCTCCATATAACTGCAAACGTGTTTTATATTTATTAAGTCTCCCACTTGTCCGCACCCGTTCTTCAAAACCGCTTGTCAGATTAACTTAGGGTTTCACGATATGTAAGACTAACATGTCTAGTGGTGCAATCAGGGTTTTGTTTGTGCAATGGGGTTTATAAAGGGGTACTTTGAGGGGCAAAAAGAAAGGAGGGTTTTACTATAGAACCCTATGGGATTTAATTTTTTTAAATTTTCAAATGATTATAAATTGAAAACCGTTTGTGATAGACACAATCTTTTTATTTGAAAATGTTCTAAATGATAAAGCACATTAAATGAAATACAGGATAAGTCCCCAGGGGTCACCCCCACCCCCTGCCATTTAAGAAAGTTCTAATATCTTGTAAATGGTCGAGATCCCCACCCCTAAACCATATATATTCTGGTTTGTCATGCTAAGATGGTTTGAATGATATACAGGGTTAGTCCCCAGGGGTCATCCCGACCCCCTCCCATTTGAGAAAGTTCTAATATCTTGTAAATGGTCGAGATCCCCACCCCTAAACCATTTATATTCTGGTTTGTCATGATAAAGCACATCAAATGAAATACAGGGTTAGTCCCCAGGGGTCACCCCCACCCCCTGCCATTTAAGAAAGTTCTAATATTTTGTGGGTGGCCAAGATCCCCACCCCTAAACCATATATATTTTGGTTTGTCATGCCAAGATGGTTTGAATGATATACAGGGTTAATCCCCAGGGGTCACCCCCAACCCTGCTATTCAAGAAAGTTCTAATATCTTTGTAAGTGGTCAAGATCCCCACCCCTAAACCATATATATTCTGGTTTGTCATACCAAGATGGTTTGAATGATATACAGGGTTAGTCCCCAGGGGTCAACCCGACCCCCTGCCATTTGAGAAAGTTCTAATATCTTGTAAATGGTCGAGATCCCCACCCCTAAACCATATATATTCCTGTTCATCATGTCTCGAACATTTGAATGACGTATACGGTCAGTCCCCAGGGGTTCCCCCACCCCCAATGTTCTAGTATCTTGTAAATGGTCGAGATCCCCACCCCTAAACCATATATATTCTGGTTTGTCATGCCAAGATGTTTTGAATGATATACAGGGTTAGTCCCCAGGCATTACTAATGCATATAACTTTACTGGACCAAACCAATTTTCACTGGACTTTGTCCAATGTCAGGCGACCCTGGGAATTACGAATTATAGGAGCTACGTTGGGGAAACTTCGTAACAGCATCCTGTTACAATCATTTCTTGTTGAGAAATGATCGTTATTAAAAAAAAAATAATTTGTGTACGTGTTTGATAATTCATTTTCACTTGATTGTTAATTATCAAAAGGGCAAGTGAGAGCTTTTCCTATCACTTAACGTCCACCATCTTCGTCCTTCGTTGTCAGTTACCTTTACAAAAATCTTCTCTGACACTACTGGGGCAATTCGAACCAAACTTGGCCATAATCAATATTGGGGTGTTTAGTCTAAAAAAAATGTGTCCGATGAAACCTGCCTGCTAACCAACATGGCTAAAAAAAGAACATAAAGGGTCAACATTTTTATCTATTATCTTGAAAACCCCTCTAGATAGAGAAAATCTGACTGGGGCAAAATAGTTCAAAACGTTTAGATATATGCTCTGTTCGTTTATATCAAAAAGTACTGCCAGACAACTTCTCATACTAGTTATTGCTATTATATATAAACGACGAATTTTACTTTAAAAAAAATATTTGGCTATTATCTCGAAAACTGATAAATGAAGAGCAACTTCAACATGTTCAAATGCAAAAACGCAAAAAACGATCAGTTAGACAATACGTACAGTGAAGTCAAACTTGTCCGAAATCGTCAGTAGACTTTATTGGAGGTATTACCCTTTAATGATGGTTTTTGCCTTTTATTTAAAAAAATATAATAGATCGATAGAAACTTTAAATAGATACATGATGAACAAGACAAGATCTACAATTAAGTGGATATTGCCGGAATCGTCAGTTGATTTCTTTTAGGAGTTATTGCCCTAAAATGACGATTTTTATCAATATTTTGTGTGAGTGCCTATTATATTAAAACCATAATCAGGATAATAGAAAGAGAGAAACTTTAAACAGCAACATATTTTCCGCTAGAGAAGATCTTTACATAGGTCTATATTGAAATCGTTTGTCTACTCTTTATATGAGTTATTGCCCTTTAATGACAATAAAATC